ATTGGTTCGTAATGCAAAATAAAGATTTTTCTGCACCGCCCCGGTAATTGATTATTATACGAATGATTTCGCCGGTGGTCAATTGATCGCTCTAATCAACACGTTCATCGGAAATAAACTATTCGTTGAATTCCCAATTTTCTGCTGTTTCTCATTTGCTAATTGTTGACGGGTTGATTGGTTCGTAAGGCAGAATAAAGATTTTTCTGCGCCGATCGTAGGAAATCGAAATTAAATAGAAATGATTCTCTCTTCGGTAAATTGAAAATATAATAATCTGTGATATTCTTTTAATTTTCTCACTGATCTAAATTGCAGCTACTCGTTTTATTTTTTGAAATAAATGCATCGAATCTGCATAATGTGTGCGCATATGCTCTTCGGCATACGGCACGAACTGTTTGTTCTCTTCCATTGACATAAATATGCCTACCTTTTCGTGATTATTCTGACCAATGTATGAACTATTCAATAGTATTCTAAAAAAAGAAATAATGACGTTCTTGATTTTGAAACGGAAAGAAAAACACGTTTCGTACTGTTTCCGCAATGGAAAATGTTTTGCGCAAGTTTGCTTTTGACGCAGCGATTCCTCCGAGAAATACAATAATGTAATCGTGATCCACGAAAGAAAATCTTAAAAAAACGATTTCGACAATTGCATCAATTGTGCTTGGTATGTATATCGATGAACAAAAAATGAGTAGACACGGCGTATTAATATAAACGTTTATTCATATAGCTGCGACAACAGTGTACTAAGTATCATCGATATTAACAACCTTATTATGCTGGAAAGAAAGCCTAAGCTCTAAATAAAAGCATATCGTCACGTGAAAACTTTATTACAAATTCTGTAAAAGATGAGTACACATATTCGATCAAACGGGTCTCCTACACCAATGAGGACGAGTTGCATAATTGGAAGCTAATGAGATTCACTAACAAGATACGAAAGAATGGAAATGGTTCCTATATATGCCTAATGGGGCCGTTAAGAGGCTCGATTTCGATTGGTGAATAGAGAACGTGTTTACAGGTACATGTTACATCGGTAAGTAATTCAGCGTAATCGTACGTCTATAAATGTAATGTTGGTGTTAACATGGAAAATTCAAGAGTAATAAGGTATATTACATGCTACCCTTTGTTGTTATGCAGTTTATTAGTTGTTCCTGAATTCCATTAATTCCATAGAATAAACTCTATTTACATAAAAACTTACATGATAAAATTAACAGAAAGGAATCACAGTAGCTTCATCCACATGAACGGAAATAATTGAAATTCCGAAAGGTTCCCTAGTGTAATTTCATTTTGTAATTCGAAACTCGTAGAAATTTTTCGTCTGAACGTACGCTCTTCTTAAACACGACGAAAGAGAGAGAGAGAGAGAGAGAGAGAGAGAGAGAGAGAGAGAGAGAGAGAGAGAGAGAGAGAGAGAGAGAGAGAGAGAGAGAGAGAGAGAGAGAGAGAGAGAGAGAGAGAGAGAGAGAGAGAGAGAGAGAGAGAGAGAGAGAGAGAGAGAGAGAGAGAGAGAGAGAGAGAGAGAGAGAGAGAGAGAGAGAGAGAGAGAGAGAGAGAGAGAGAGAGAGAAGAGAGTATAATTAAGAGCACGATACTTGAGAAGCTCACTCAGCTACAGAATGTAATAGTGTGATTCGAACACCATGCCAATCGTAATCATCTAATAAAGCACCATACATACAAAATAAAATCGTGGTATTATTCTCGTTAATCATAATTTTTATATACAACTTCTTATAAAAATTTTAATCAGTATTTTTACGCTTAAACCACCCGGAGAAAGTTCTGCTTTCTGCGTGTCTCTCTGCAATACAAGGAGAACTTCACAAACGATACTACTTTGTTCCTAGGTAAAGACAAAACTGTCGGACTTCGTCCGGAACGATACAGCGAAATACGAAAATAAACCATTATTTTTTTCTTTTTTTGTATCCGTTTGCTCACCGAGGAATGTACGCACGATAGAAAAAACATAATTCCTCAATGGGGACGAAATAATACTAGAATTTTTCGTTTTTTTTTCTTCACGAAACACAGTAAATCATCGATGAACTATCAGGCGGTAATTACGTGCAGTGACTGCGTATCCTCCTCCCCCCTCCCCCCATTGTTGATACATTTTCCGTTAAAGAGAACACTCTACTTTTATCAAGTGTTTCGTGAACTATTTACAATAGTATTTGACTACATCACGTCGAAAGAAGGGAAGCAAGCCTGACCTAAGAGGCGAATTCGAGACGAATCGAGGAGGAACAGGTGTAAGAACTGAATGTATCTCGGAACAAAAGATTGTTTTAGTATAATAAGGACGAGAGACAACGAAGTGTACAAAAGCAAAATTGAATACAAACGTTTGGCTGGACTTGTTCCTCGATTTACGTAAGTTACCGATCGCGTATACCTTACGTAAGTACATCAATTAGATTACGTCGGGCGTTACATCGTGGATTGTCTTTCTTACTTCTGCATACGGTACAAACCAGCGGTCACACCTATCCGAGCAATTTTTCCGAAAACAATGCGCACAAAGTAACAATAGGTGTCGTTCGAAAAACAAAAAAAAACTGTTCGAGGCAGCAACTGCGATGGAACTACGATCGGATTTACAATGAAGATATTCATTGCAATATACCGTCCACACGGTGTTGAACAAAAGCACTGGCACGATATTCGCAATATAAATGCTCGGTGAAAAACAACGTTGGAACTGTTCTTCTTTCTGGAACAGCATCGATTTTGTCAACTTCGGCGCGAACAATGATAACGCAAACGAAAAGAAAAATAGGCTGCGGATCTTGGCGGAGCAATGAGAATCTCTTCTGCGTCGGCTTACTTTTTCTGACGATTTTAATAGTGAATTAGTGTACATTCGATTTGATACCTTGTGCCAATACTTTCGATCGCTTCTGTTGTTGTTCTTCGTTCTGTTTGTTATTAAAATGCACGCGGTACATTTAGTCTGAGAAATGAACGTTCGGTTCGATATTTGTTTACGGAGAGATTTATACTGTAGAAATTGTACTGTGTCAATACTTTTGTCCAGCAGCGTGTCTTGCAAGAAAAAAAAAGGAACGAAACGTTTTAAACATATCATTTCGCGAAATCTCGCTGCTAATTAACGATCCCTCGCCGCTTTTCGGACTTCGATTCGCAAAGAGTTTCGGAGAGATCGTTAAGAATATTACAATCCTGCATAAATTCGCGCTTATGCCTCAAACGCAATTTTATTTCGAAAATAAGCATTCGTTATGCACAATGAGTCAAAAAATCTCAGCGCAACTTTCGAAGCAGAAGAACGTTTCTTCTTTCTTTTTTTTATTTTTGAATTCGACCAAGCGTCATCGGCTTTTCTGAAAGTTTCATTTTTTTTAATTAAAATTACAAATCGGTTGAAACTGCAAGGAAAGATGCGAGCGGTCGCATCGCGTGAGATTCTTACATGCGATGAAAATTTAAAATTCAGAAAAGCTCGGTATCCTTCGGTCGAACTTCCAATGAATTGTTCTGTTTAAATAAATGATAAAAGGCGCACATAACAAAAGTTTATCTTAAAAATAAAACCGCTATAAAATATAAGAACTCATGCATAAATCCAATATAGCAACAGCATTTTAAGTATTCCAGAGTCGAGAGATCAACGGGCTGATTTAATTACAGATTTCAACTCGAATGGGTCGATCAGTATACTTTTCACGAGTGGCCATCGGGATCGGTATTTCGAAGGTCATGAAGTAACTTGCATTTCATTGATTCACGTCGGTATTTCTTATTACGGATTTAATAATAATACGAATAATAATATAATAATATAATAATAATAATAATAATAATAATAATAATCATAGTAATTATAATAATAAATCATCATTTAGAATTATTGTACATCGATATATTATTTAATATAATCTATTTTATATATTCTATATTAATATAGACTTCTATCTGATTCAATTAAATTCTTAAATCTTTATATTCTTGTTTTGTATCACCTGCCGAGTAAATTCTGGCAACTCGAGCGAGAAACACTTATGTAATTGGGGAAAGAAAATACACCACCGGAGCGTCGTCACTTTTACAATTATCTCCTCCTCATTATCTTCATTTCATCTTTTTTCTTTTTTCTCCTTTTCTTTTCCGTAATTCGCGCACGCCGTGCCCGAGAATATCACTAGAGAGTTTCTTTTCGGTTAGAGAACCGTTTAACATCCACGTTACCGTTTTTAGGTACGTATAAAAAAAAAGAATCATACTAAACAGGACAAAGAGAACAAAAAATAAAGGAAACAAAAATTAAAAACAAGTGGAGAAACAAAAGAAGGATGAAGAGCACAGTAACAGTGACATCGTCGATCCTCCGGGCACTCTCAACACGGCGCCTTGTGTTCACCGTTTCTTTAAAACATGGAATTGACTTGAATATCTTCCCTACGCGAACGTCACCGAGACCATCAGTAACTAATTACATAATTAAATCACAAGCCGCATGTGATTCGAAAAAAAAAATAGAATGACGGTGCTAAAAAGGACTAGAAGCTACAATTAGAATTAGTAAAAACAAGGACTAAATATATTAAGCGAACTACGTAACGAGCATTCGTAAAAGAAACATCATTTTCCCTCTGACGATTTTTTGTACTTTTTTGATTAGGGTTCATTATATTTGGCCGAGCCAGTTTACCATAAATCTTTGTCCGTTCGCGAATACAGCACGTACCGAGGACATAATATTGGTGCTTAAATAGTATTACTTGTTTCTCTGCCCTCATCTGCACTTTTTTCTTTCCTCTTTTGTTTTTTGTTTTTTTTTTTTATAAAAGTTCTAGTACATCTAAGATCGCGATGACTAAACATCTCGCGAGGTCTCGAACACCTCGCCGAATGGGGATCCTCATAACTTCGTGTATCTTCCTTTCTTTCGTTCGTTCTCTCTTTCTTCCCTTCTTTTTTTTTCACCCACAAAGAAGAAAGTACAATTTAACTGGTACTTCGTAATTATTCCGTTAATACACCAGAAGCGGCCACAAAGAAATCACAACGCTCCCTCTTGCCAGAGGGATGTGTCGTTGTTGTATTCGCATTTTACGCTTATTAACACAGCTCAAAGATAACAAGTGATTCAAAGACGATTACAGAATATTTCTTCGGTCCTTATTTACAATCTTTAAAAATCACATGGTCTGTACCGGAGTCACCAAGTACTTTCACGCTTGATCAGACAATAAGTGGCGACGACGGTCTTTTGTTTTATTTTTTTTTCTGTTTTTACACATTTCTTATAATTATGCTCCATTTTTCACGAACAAATATCTCTTTCGCAACTAACACCCGAGAATTCTTTTATCCTTAATTTCCTTTCCGAGTATAATGTGTTTACGCTTTCTCCTAGCGCGAATATGCCCTATTTGCAGAGAAAAACAAATGAACTCCGAAAGCATAACGACTTTACACTAATTAAATGTGTAATTTTTTTGTTCATCCGATACTCGTATCACGCCGAATTGCAAATCCAAAATATTCGGTGAGCACTTATTACGCTCAATATAACGTCCCGTTATAAATACGTTATGAAAATGAATATTATACATATATAGTTTCTACATAGTACATAACCGTGTTCTTTCGATGGGCTTTATCGTACAGGAGCCCATCGAAGAATCAAAAGCACTTTTGACCAGAACAAAATATCATTCCTTAACTTGCTGCTCGTACACGAAATTTAAATTTGATTGACCGACCGTTTGCTTCGTTTCGCTATCGTACGATGCTTCTGTAGATTAATCATAAGTTATTATAAAATACTCAAATTAAATCATAAATATTTTGTATAATTAATAGTACGAATCAAAAAGAATTCGGATTGGTTCGTCGACCAACAATGATGTACAAAAATTACGCAATAGTAATACAGCGCCAATAAATACGAATGTGTCACGAAGTCCACACACTACGGACCTTAGAGATCTTGCGTTGTGATTGCCACTCCAGCGAAATTATGGAAAAAAGTCTTCTCGTGTGAATTTAGTTAACATAACCGATTGCACCCCGTTATTCGTCCTCCGTGTCGCCATCGCTGCTGTAATCTTGTAGTACGGGCGGTCTCAGGAAGGGTGCATTGTTCGTTTGACTATAACGTTCATTAATTTTACGATTATGTTTGAAAAAAATCGAACGCAGGATATTGATAAACAGAGATGGGGTATAGTATAGTATAATTTTGTAAACTATTATTAATAATGTAAGAACAATTGATTACACTGTTGCACAAATCCCATCCCTATTGAGAAAATAAGATACTAGAAAAGGATGTGTTCTACTTACGCGAGTCTTCGATAATGATTCAACCATTCCTCTAACATTTGTGCTACGAGTAAGGGTCTTTTATGAAGTTTCTGTTGCGCGACAAGTACACCACCTTCGGTTCTACACACGTCGAGCCATTCCTTCAAAATGGTTTCCTCCCGACCGACTTCTTCTGGACTCAAGAAATGGATTGGCAACAGTTTGTGTTCTCGGTCCATCAACGGCATAAACGTAGTCTGCATTTCTATTTGCAACTGTTGAAGTGGACTATTACCGCCAACTAAACCTACGCCGCCATGGGATGAAATTGGTGGTATTCTAGATGACGCGTATGGCTCGATAGGTACGAGAGCTGTAAAATGACCCCGCGTATAACCCAAAGCAATAGGCGATCGAATACAAAATGATGGTTCCCATAAAAGTGGAAGGTAAACACCCTCGAATCTTGCGTAACCTGTGTAAATAGAATTGTTTAAATACATGTTGTCAGCTTCATAGAGCAGTCATAGAAGGAATGAGTTTTGTGATAAGTTACCTATGTCTTCGCCTCGAAAACTTTTAACATATTTAACCCCATAAACAATAATAGGTCGTCTTAAGATATGGGCAAGAGCAAATACATGTAATTGTTCCAACGCGCTTCCTGGTTGCGCAGCAGTTGCCAATAAACTTTCCCAATCTTCTTGCCATTGAGTCTCTTCTAATGTAAAATCTAACATTCGAGATGCTTGAGATGCTTCGTACTCTCTCCATCGAGGATAAAAGCTGAAATAGTAAAGAGATAACGAATTAATGGAGTTTATATTTACAAGGTATAACTTAGGCTCTTTGTATATGGCAAAGAAAACTTACAATTGACCAGCTTGTTGTAAGGAATCAGCAAGGGCTCTCCTTAAAGCATTATCCCGGTCAAAAACTCCCCAAGTAGCTTGCATTGCAGAATCTAGTAAACAGTCTCCGGCAGATCTATTCCAAAGCGCGTGTAAGCGACTTCCTAAACGCTCAGTAATTTCAAGAGACCAATTTAGTGCTGGAGGTTCTCCACAACCACCTTCTAATTGCTGTTGAGCTTCCTTATCTAGTAACTCCTCCAATAGCTGTTCTTGCACAATGCTTGGTAAATCCTCTACCTAACAATTAATATTTTCGATATGTATTTAAGTAGAACTTATATAACTTAATATTATTTTAGATGATCAATGTCTTTGACAAACTATTATACCCCAATAAAGTAATATAGTATTATAGTAACCTCAGCAGGCAAAGCGAATGTAGCTATATCAGTGACAAAATAACATGGAAAGGAACCCTTGCATAACCGGATACTATTGGTGACATGTCTGCGTATCTGAGCAGCCAAATCTGGTGCAACATAACTTGGTACCCTTTTAACTCCAGAACCTGAACCTTCAATTTGTGATAATAATGTTGCTAGAATATCTTCTCTTTGAAATCTGTTAAGGGTATGATAAACTGAATGAGCAATACTCCGAAAACTTTCTTTTTAACACAATAATATTATAGATTATATAATGTACTATAATATTTGTAATGTCACGCATGTAACAAAGAAGTTGAAACATGGCCAAAAAGAATATATACATTTACAAGAATATATGAATAGAAATAAATTTGATTTAGAATCCTTTGTATAAAATCGTTTCCTACTGACCTAATTGCTAAATGTACTAGAGTATGTCCGACATCAAAAGCACTACTTCTATTAAGAAGCAGAACTTCCGAGTGCGTCAACTGACGAGCAGGATCACCTCCGCTTGCCAAATAAGCCTCGACAGGAGCATTGTCGCCTTCCACAATGCCAAGACATGCATTTAACCAGCACCAATCAGTATGACGCCTTAGCTGCTTTAATCTACGTTCATAGTCACAATTATTAGGAGATTGAGGAGTCGATAAATTGTCATTCCTGCTATCAGAATATCTATGCGAGCCCCTACAACATGAGAAGACTTGCAATACCTAAAATTGTTGCCTATAGTATCACAATAATCAATAAAGTGCATTTACCTTCGTCCTACAGCCATATTCTCATCCCTTTGAGTTTGATGAATATATGGTACATGGGGTGGAGAGGATAAGTTGCGTTGACTGTGATCTCTTTCTGGACTTGGCAAAATAATACCCACATTATTGGCGCTTTTATCTCTTCTGTCTTTTTCTTTAGGATTACCACACATCACACACTTCGTAGCTTTTGGCCAATTTTCATAAGTACAAACGAGGCAAGACCACTTTTCAGGGTGTAAATTAGTTTGTAAATTATAATATCTTTCTGGGTGTAAATTTATTGGAGGAGGTATAGATCCTGAATTTGGTGGTGGATCTCCTAGCCTAAGGGGTGCTAGATGTTCATGCAAATTCGAAGCTATGGAGTGTATAGACTGATTGAGACCCATGGGTTTTTTATTTCCACACTGAACACAACGTGTGGTATTTTGATAGTTAAGATAGGTACACATTGCACAAGACCACTTTCCACCCGATGGTACATTCTGACTATAATTCTGAGGACTAAGATTATAAGAATCCGTAGGACTTAAATGAGTTACTGGACCAGACGCAACGTTCGATCCAGATCTTTGTGGACTTGGATCCCTTAGACGGTAAATATCCTCCCCTAATAAAGGCTTGGCACTTCTGCACATTGTGCATTTCAAAGAAGAAGGCCAGTTTTCGTATGTACAATATTCACAGGTCCATTTCGACTCTCGTTCTTCAAGCCTGTTACTCATTTTCTCTGTATGACCCTTTTATCTTGTAAATCCTATTGTCTCTAATGCATAGACACTTTAATATCGAGGCTCGAATGAAATATATTTATAAAGCATAAACGTGAATCGAAAGTTACATTGAATATCTTGACAAATTGTTATTGTTGCTTATGGTAATTGAATTTTGCATATTTTCATGTCATAAGATATGGCGAATAGGTAATTTCCATAAAGATCGGTGATAGTATTCATTAGTCATACAACAAAGTTCATGTCATGTGGTAAACATGTCGATTGGATATAAGAAAATAAAAGCTGCCACAGTAATGTGAATACAGACAGCTATCGCAATCTGCAAAGAAAAAACAAGAAAAGGTATGAATTCAATGGAAAAATAATTATTATCTTACGAGTAAGTATATAAGTATCGTACATAGATTAAATGAAAAAACAGGTGTTAGCTTTATTAACACATATATATATATAATTTTATAACTTTAACAAAAACATTTACATTGACAAATAACATAAGACAAGTAACTCACTAAAAAACTCACTAATATATTTACAATTGAATTCCATTCAAATATATATGTATAAACATACATATACATTTAAAATAACATATACATAAAAAGAACACGATAGTATGCAAGCAATTAGATTTACAGTAACATGATACAAAATTCCTTGGCGAGACTAAGCATTTCAAAACTAAAACGCGGTAAACTGTAATAGAGGTTTGAAATGTGACTGACCTCTAGCGCTTTTATGTCGCACAAGCGTCACGTCAAGGAGAAATGTGGACAGGATTTTACGGAACAAAGCAAGTCTCGTACGGCTGATAGATCAGAAGAGGGGCTACCTGGCAAAAGTTGAGCCTGGTGTCCCGAAAGTTGTTGTCACGCGCGAGTAAGCTCCATCGAAGTACAATATATCGGCTGATCGTTGTGAACCTGACGTGAAGACAGAGACGTGGATCAGTTGTTGAGTCGCACACTACGGCCAGCAGCCCACTGTAATTGCATTTAAATAAGAGAGAAGGTTAAGGCACAGCTGCGAAATCAATTTCACATCCGCGAGAACGAAAGCCCGCCTTCTCTCCTCGCGTTCGAATCGGAGTAATCTTCTTCCCCACCGACGAAGACCCGAGGCACGTCACTCGTTGAACGGGTGAAATGCGACGAACGTAACGAGACAAGAAACTTCTCTTTATGCACACTCACTCCTTGCTAAACAGACGCACGATATCCCTTCTGGCTTCACTGAGCTCCTCTTTCCCTTCTACAAGTCAAATACAGTCATGATGTTATCCTTCGAACTGCCATGCAAAGCTGAAGACTTCGCTGAGAAAGTAGGTTTTGACAATCATCCGCAAACAGATATCAGGACTGCCAACCTCGTGTAACAAGGCCTCCTGAACTTGCCGTTAGAGGGCTAAGAACTGACAACCGATTCTCGTTAGTTCTCTAACGTTATTTAATTTTCAAATCAGTTTATAACTGAAATTTAATAGTCTCTAATACTAACTAACTATTTGTTCTATTATTAACTGATCTTCAAATACAGTCTAACCGAAGTCAATCTATGTAAGTTTGTACGTATGTAATATCTAATTATTTTCCATATGATATAAATTATTTAGAATTTGAATCTGAATTAAACTTTGTTATGCTCAATGAATCTCTAGCGGCGTAAAAAAATGTTTATTAAGATCGTCGTATTTGATTCACTCTTAAATACCTATATAATTGCGATTATATACATCGTTTCAGTTAAAATCTTTAGCAGTTAATTGCAATTTATACTCAACTAGTTTAATTATATATAACTCGTTAATTGCATTAAATATTACGCAACTGTAGCCCAGTTGATTGTTATTAATCAGTTAACAATAACCGAATTATATTTGCCCTCGAATTGAGCAATTGGTTACTGACCATTTAATGGGATATCCTAGTATATGATAAATCCGGTTATATCAAGAGCACTAATTCAAGTGCATCTATCTCCAATAAGATATACATAGACTTTGCTGTACATAAGTCTTAAATGAAGTCTACTAAAGTCGATCGAAATCAACAAACCACTCAAGGCCGTTGACAATGTAGTCTCTTCTTCGTTGTACTTATTTTAAGCATATTGGACACTTCTACTAAAATCGTCTACCAAGATTATCCCAAAATTAAAGAACATTTAAAAGCTATAAGAAATTGAGTCAAACTAACATTACCATTGGAACGGTAACAATTTTGTAAATAGTGCCTCCTGAACTTACCGCTAGAGGACTATAAAGAGCAAGCGGATTCTTGAATGTTTTTTAATAGAGTTTGATTCCTTCAACTAAACAGTCCGTAATATTCGAGTAATTCCGTGTTATTAAAACCACAAAAATTGACTAAAATACTGCAGATTATACAAAAGATGACAACATGCAATTGCACGCTTTCTTCTAACCTTAATTTCAGTCGCTGCGATCTATAGTTACTGAGTTTGTAAAAAGTGTGCAGTTACATCACGCTATCTCTCATCTGAACCTTATCTCATTCATTATTTTAAATTAATTCGACCTTGAAGGTATCTAGAATCCTCATAAAAAACTATCTTCGTCGTAAAAAACGTACGAAAAAGATCAAACTTTCTTTGATGCTTTCATATTATGGTTACACAGAATCTTGTATCCGGTTCCGGTTTTTGAGACGTATCACGCACTTTCTTTTTGTCACCCTTGACACTTTGGTGCCAATTTTCAGAATATTCGACAACTTGACATCTGGGAATACGTGCTTTTTCGCAAAGTAACGGTCTAGTACGTGTTTCTAGCAACGTCGATTAAGAGATGTAAAATGTTCAGTCGAGAACGACTCTTTCGCGAAGCATACACGGGATGCTATTTTTTATTTATAAATATCTTGGGCCACGGGCCAAATGGGACTTAGCCTAGACACTTATCCTTGACATTTGATTGATTAAGATCGTTATCACACGTAAAACTTATTTAACAAGAGAGATAATTATTTTTTTCTTTTTGTAGTTCACGCACCTGTCCACGGAATCTTGTATTTTTATAGATATCGTCTACCGAAGACTGATGACGTCATGCTGATCAGCTGGAAACCAATGTTGTAACGATCTCTACGATGTGATCCGATTTTCTTCTAGTGAATTCGCACTCGAAATTTCTCCTCGTTAATAGATGTCAAAATGATTAATACGAATGTCACGATATTATACGGCAGTGAAACCGGAACTGCTGAAGACGTAGCTGAACAAATTTGGAAAAGTGCCAAAAGGTTTTGTTATTGTTCTCTCTTTATTTCGTATACAGAACAATATCATAAAAGACAATTTAATATGATTCCATATTTGATGCATAAACCATGTAATTATTTTAATCTTGTTTCAGGAAAGGTTTACAAAGTTCTGTCTCTGCATTGAATGACTATGACATTCAAAATCTTAATTTGGAGAAAATTATAGTCTTTGTGGTTGCTACAACAGGTCAGGGTGATCCTCCTAACAATATGAAACAATTTTGGAGATGTCTGTTGAGAAAGAGTTTGCCAACAGCGTTACTGAGTGATGTAAAGTATGGAGTGTTGGGTTTAGGTGATAGTTCCTATGCGAAATTTAATTTTGCAGCAAAAAAGTTGAACAAAAGATTGTTACAACTAGGTGCTAAGGAAATACTACCTATTGGATTAGCAGACGATCAACATGATTTAGGGATAGATGCAGTTATTGATCCTTGGCTACAAGAATTATGGACAAAAATTGCAGATATATTTCATATAAATACAACAGATTTGATTATTGATCAAGATAAAATAATTGAAAGATTTAGTATTTCCGAAATACATACAGATTCTGTAAATGATGACTATTGTATAGAAAATAATATTTATATGAGAGAAGTACTTACAAATAATGAAATGAAGGTGGGTACAGTAATTGAAAATACAAGAACCACTGCCGAAGATCATTTTCAGGATGTTAGATTGATTAAAATGAAATCAAATAATCTTAACTACCAACCTGGAGATGTGGTTTATGTTAGACCAAAAAATTCTAGGCAACAAGTTGATAAGTTTTTTAATGTATTAAGTAGTAACAATGTGCAATTAGATCCAGATACAAGAATCCAAGTGTCAGAAAAAGAAGTTAAAGTGCCATCGGTCTTAAGGCTGCCTTTAACTTTACGACAAATTGTAGAACAATACTGGGATTTAAATTTTAAACCAAGAAGACACACTATGCAAGTGTTGTATCATATTAGCGACAATGTATTAGAGAAAGAGAAGTTCCATGAGTTTACAACAATAAGTGGTCAAGAGGAATTGTACAATTATATTAATAGGCCAAGGAGAAATATTATAGAATTATTTGCTGATTTTCCCCACACAACCAGTAAACTAAATATAAAATTTTTATTTGAGATTATGTCTCCTATAAAACCTCGTGCTTTTAGCATAGCATCAAGTTCAACAACCACTAAAAATGAAATTCATTTGCTGGTTGCTGTGGTAAAGTACAAGACTAAATTGTTTGAACCAAGATATGGTTTGTGTTCCAACTGGTTAGCTAGCTTACAGGAGGAAGAAAAAGTAATATTTTGGTTACAAAAAGGAACCTTTAAGTTCACATATGATAAACCAATGATACTGATTGGGCCTGGAACAGGTGTTGCCCCATTTCGTTCTGTATTATTAGATAAATCTGCACTAGATAATGACTTAAGCAACTGTATTCTTTTCTTCGGATGCAGAAATAAAGAAAAAGATTATCACTGTAAAGATGATTTTGAACACATGTCACAGAAATTGCATTTGAATTTATTCTGTGCTTTTTCTAGAGACCAAGAAAATAAAATGTAAGCAACTTATAAAACTTTGTATTTTACTATGGTATAATTATGTTGATCGCAAATTTTTCAGATATGTACAACATGTTATACAAGATCAAAAACAGCTATGTTGGGAATTTCTTAACAGAAATGGTAGCATTTATTTAGCAGGTAATTCCAAAAACATGCCAAACTGTGTTCGTGAAGAATTTGTTAAACTGGTAAAAGAAAAAGCAGGGCAGACTGAGGAAGAAGCAGACTATTTTATTAAACAACTGGAAAATACAAATCGGTATCAAGTTGAAACATGGGGTTAATAACCAGTACTGTAAATAATTTGGTTAAAAATTTGTAAATAATATAAGGATGGTTTAAACATTGTATAAGGCATGTCAGACTGTTCATCCACCTTTATTAAAATGGAGGAAAATTTTAAAAATAGGAATAATTATATCAAGCATTTTAAACATTGATGTGAGAAGGATAGTGTGAGAGACTGTAAAGCGAGTTTAAAATTCAATTTCTAATCTGACTAGACCATTTCCGGTTAATCCCGGAAGTTAAAAATATTTTTAAAGAGGGAGTCTGGATACCATCGACATATTTTTTAATTAACAGAATTCAATAAAAATAACTAATCGTAAATGTAAACTTATCTTTACCTATATATCACCATTTATAAAGTTTAAATATTTTATTCCTTTATTTACATTCAACATTTAGCGTTTTTATGATACTATTAGACATTATTATGAAAATATGTGTAATTATTTTGTCCATCAACCGTCTTAACAAACAATCGAAACTGTGTTAAGTGGAGATAATATCAATACATATTGCTACTCAAAATGATAACCATGTAAATGGGACGAACAAAGAGTACTAATTGTTGCAGATAAATTACATCAGCTGCATTCGTGATGTGATGCAAGATTTTTTCTTTCGCTGATTTGAATACTGCACAGACGCGCGCGCGCGCGCGTGTCATCTCGGACTAGTTCGTGGATCTCCGTGCGGCGTGGAGCTTACTTGTCGAACTCTAACCCTGTCTTATCTTAACCTACAAAAATAAAGCAGAAACATGGTACGTCGGGCACGTTGGGAAACAGTTCTATTCATAACTCCACGTCTTAACTAGTGGATCATGCAGTGATACCGTAAGAGGTTCTATCAAAATCTTCCTTTCCGAAAAGAAACCGAGGAGTCGTGACTGGAAGAATATTACAAATGACAATGAAATAACGACTCGGAACCAAATTTTCCCAGCAATACATCTCAAACTTTACTAACGTCCGTCCGCCAGGAAAAACAGAGGCCACATCTTGCCGAATCAGCCACAAATCATTTTGCCAAAGTTCAATCAACACGTGAAATGTATTAACCTACGATACTACACAGTTTTTAATTGAATTCAAGTTTAAAAATTTTACGGAAAAATGGCGGGCAGTTACACGAAGAAAGAATTCGGGGTCGGCAGTGAAGAACAGACATTGTTGAAAGATTCAAATGGAACCCGCATCGTGCCCGCGAAAGGTATACCATACTGGCCCTTTTTGTCGCTTTTTTTCCATCTGCTTTCCACAAACTTAATCGTTTTAGCCCCGCTTCTACGTGTCAAATATCGAAGACTCTACCCTTCTTGGAATTGTTTTTGTTTCTTTTTTTATTTTCACTACAAATACTTGGCCAAACCGGTCCCTCCGTGGAGGGTATTCACATAGCACACCTTGGCATATGATAGTCCTCAAGATTTTCAGTGTGTAACTTTGATTTGTGTTTCATTCAGCTTGAATTTTTCAGAGTGCTGTGNGAATCAGCCACAAATCATTTTGCCAAAGTTCAATCAACACGTGAAATGTATTAACCTACGATACTACACAGTTTTTAATTGAATTCAAGTTTAAAAATTTTACGGAAAAATGGCGGGCAGTTACACGAAGAAAGAATTCGGGGTCGGCAGTGAAGAACAGACATTGTTGAAAGATTCAAATGGAACCCGCATCGTGCCCGCGAAAGGTATACCATACTGGCCCTTTTTGTCGCTTTTTTTCCATCTGCTTTCCACAAACTTAATCGTTTTAGCCCCGCTTCTACGTGTCAAATATCGAAGACTCTACCCTTCTTGGAATTGTTTTTGTTTCTTTTTTTATTTTCACTACAAATACTTGGCCAAACCGGTCCCTCCGTGGAGGGTATTCACATAGCACACCTTGGCATATGATAGTCCTCAAGATTTTCAGTGTGTAACTTTGATTTGTGTTTCATTCAGCTTGAATTTTTCAGAGTGCTGTGTTAAGTTCATAGCAAACATAAAGTTATTCATACATTTTTCTTAAAGGGAATGTAAAAATTCGATAGCTTATACGTGTTCACATGATTCCAAATTTAAATAATTACTTTCTATTCTTTATCTAGTTAGTAACACAACATTAGATAAAAAATTATGAAAAAAATAACTTATTTCTCTAATCATACCTAAATTATATTGAAGTAGTTGGACAAGTAGTTCCTACTTATCTCAAGTATATCACATTCACATAGCTCTAGCTATCTCTAATTATACGAATCTTGATTTTAAGAGTCTAATACTTTGATAAAAAAAATTATTTCAATTGTAATAAATTTATTAAATAATT